TCTTGTCCCTAATAACAATAATTTGACAGCAACAACATTGCTTTCCCCTCCATCGCAGGAAATTGCTGGAATCTTTCTATCACAATTTGTTTCAAATATAAGTCAGCCTCTTAACATTGTAGGTACCGAAAGTTCTACAAACATTGATAGTTTGAAACTGGCGTTCAGTCAAATTAAGCTCAATAGTACAATACCACCTTTTGGTAAAAGATTGCTACTGTCGTCTTATGTTATCTTCCAAAATGATACTCTGGTGACCGGAAAGGCTCTTGGCGGATTCACTATTACGAATCCTTTCACGTCAAACATCACAATTAGCGAGTTGAAACAAGTAAACATCACATTTCACGACATTCCCATAGCATTTATTAGTAATTTTTCGTTTCCTCTCACTGTTAAAGGCCGAGACACAATAACATCCCCGCCGCTCCCAATTAATGTTAATCTCACTCCGACTAATCTTGTTGCAACTGTTAAAGCCGCGGCAGCTGACAAACATATCGATATCACGCCCCTCCTACCTCTCCTTGAATTAATCGGTGGTGGAAATAAGTCACAATCAGAAAGCCAACTCTCCAAATCCGGATCTGATGAACAAAGCGCGCTAAAATTGCTCGAGAAAATTTTGGGAACCCTAAATGTTGATGTTAGCATGAGTTCTAATGTTCTGATAGATCAGTTCCCAGCACCCCTGTCATTCGTAGAAAAAGATGTACCATGTGCTGTAAACGGCGTCGATATTATAATTACCCAGATTGCCTTACCAATTGCTCAAGGTCTTGTTGGTAATAGTACAATTACAGTGAATACGGCAATCATGTCTGAAGAACAGGCGGCAACTTTCAACCTTCACATTAATGGTGTTATTGGTAATGTTGGAAAGGTCAAGGCTAAAATCACGTTCCCAACTGGTGTAAATGTTTCCACGGAAGGTAAAGAGCTTGGTATCGCAAAATTACCACCTGTCACGTCCAATGGTACCGGTGAAGCGAGTATCAACAGCGATTCCGTATTCCAGATTACAAATGTTCCGAACTTTTCTGAGTTCGTTTTAGTTTTATTGGGTGGTCCTTCTGCTAACTGGACCCTTTCGGCAGATGATGTACAAGTTGATGCCTCAGGTATTCCTGTATCAGGAATCAAATTTAGCAAGGTTGTTCCTCTTCTGGGTAATTGTTATTTCATCTTTGGTTGTCATTCTTTTTCTTTTGTTTTTCTTGCATATAACTATAACAAGAGTTGAAAATTTTTTCTAGGTTTTGACGGTCTGAAGCAGGTGAAAGTTTTAGGTTTCAGTCTTCCCGGTATAGCTCCTGACGGCAACGTTATAATTGACATTGATATATCCTTGGAAAATCCTTCGAATGTTGGCATATCTCTGGGCACCATTACTTTCAATGTGTTTTCCGATCAACTATTTGTGGGTCCGATTACTGCTACTGGTGTTACGCTTGCGCCAAAATCTGCTGCCAACATCTCATTCACCGGTGAAATCGTAATTAAAGATCCAAAGATATTATCACAGCTCATTGCGGTATTATTTTCTGGTAAAGGAAATTTAACAGCTAAAGGTGATACAATTAAACCTCCAGGCGCCAAAGGTGACGTTCCGTGGTTATCCGGTCCATTCAAACAACTTGCACTTGTGGTTCCGATTCCTAGCTTACCAACCACATCGCCCGTAAAAAGTGTTGGCATCAAAAGTTTAGATCTTGCATTTACCGTGGACACCGCTTTCAACCCTGATTCATCATCGAGCGGAATGGTGGCAGAAATTCAACTACCCATTCGTCTTCCATCCCCGATTATAAGTGTTTCACAAAATATAACTATTATAGACGAAGATGGTGGTAAAGTTGCTTCTTTGGCAATAGCTTCAGCGCCTGCTACCCAAGTAGGAGAAAATGTAACCAGCACGTACAAGAATGTTTCTTTGACAGCCATTGATAAGACTGCATTTGCCAAGTTTATTGGTGAATTAACTGTTGGTACCGTAAAAACTTTCAGTTTATCCGGCATTGTGTCATCCACTTTAAAAGAATTTTTGCTCCCACCTATTCCGTTCAGTTTGAAAACGTCCATGAAAGGTATTTTAAATAACAATTGATTATTTTTAATATAATTAAATAATATTTGGAT